TTCACCACAAATACTCTTTAATAACCAATTTCTACCACACTTCATCCAGAGCATGTTGTGAAGTAACACATTCCCTCTGCTGTGCAGGCAGGGAACGTGGGATGCGGGACAGCAGGGAAGAGGGGTTTGCCTCAGATCAAAGACAGGAATGGATGCTTGGATCCAGCTCACTGTTCTGGGGCTGAGGCATTGCATGATGTGTTCAGTTTAGCTCATGGTTATTAGCACTGGTTAGGTTAGGTTAGGAAATGGTAGGAAAAAATGGCTTGTGCCACATGATGATTTTAGTTACATTTTCAAAGGCAGCTCAGAAAGATGTAAAACTGCAATAACCACTTGGACAATCGAACTAAACAATTAAGATCTGCAGCTTCCCCTCAGCAAACTCCCAACCAGGATGTTGGTTTTTGCTGGTTGATACAAGAAAATGCCCTTGATGGGACAGAAAGGGGAAGACCTGGAGCCAAAACAACACCCTCACCCTGCGCCACAGGCTGGGAAGGGAGAAGCTCCTGTCCTTGGCTAAGGCAACGTTATCAGTCAGCATTTTCAGGCTGTGTTTTTAGGGGTAAGATTGCACATTTCCCATGCTGAGAGCTCAGGAAATCTCCACCGAGAGATTTGCACAACGTTTTTGCTGGTTTCTTTCTCTGGAGCTCCAAGTGCAAAGGTTCTTTGGCAGGAATAAGGAAGTGCATTGGGATGGCGCCTTCACCTGAACTATAAATGTGAGAGGACCTTGACCCCTGCATTAATAGTCGTGTTTATTCAGCACGGAGCCGGGGCAGGGCTTCGATGTGAGCCCTCAGGGAAGGGCGAGTGGCCGGCGGTCGAGCACCCTCTGCCGGGGACCGAGCGGCTGCTGGCGGCCCCGGGGCCACGTCTGGGGACAAAGAAACAAAAGGCTCCAGGTTTTACATCATTCCCATCTCCCTTTAGAGCCTGTGGCAGTCAGACTGCACGAAACCGTCAGGATTCAAAGCAGTTTTATAGAAGGAGATGATGATGTTATCCCACGAATGGCAGAGCTTGTGCCTTAGGAGAGATACCACAGAGAGGGAGAGAAGCGATTAAAAGAGCAGCAAACACTCGTGCAAGTGCCTTCATGCCAAAAGACATCTTCTTCCATTAATGAAGTGAAAGAAGAGCATTTTAACACAAAGGGCTGCTAGGGAACCAAGCACGTTCCCACAGTCAGTTCTGTGATACCACGATACACTCATCCTCAGGACTGGAAACCAAAAATCCTGGGAAGAGTAAAGCAGCCTGTATAGAACTGTTCCAGAAAGCAGTGTCCTGCTCTCCCCTGGTGGCACACGCAGTTTGTTATCAGTGTTATCAGGGTAACTAACACTGTCAGGAGGAACCTCATTGCATTTGCTGCCCTTCACTAATTTCAGCTTTCCCACTTTAGGTCCTATTCATGGGTTTAAATGAATTTTGCCCTTTACCAGAGCTGATTTTGGTGATTGGTTACTGGTTGCTGGCCCAGGCTATCCCTTGCCAGCTGGCTGGGGCTTTTAGTAGCTCTTTTAAAGACAACGTGATGCAGAGCTCAGAGTGCCAAGGACAGCAGCTCTGTAATGCAGCCCCTCAAGAGAAGAGATAACCGGGCCTCATGGAGAAAGTTGGGTCTGATTCTTTGAACAAAACCTCTCTTGTGTCAGGAATGTGGAGCTGTAGGGTAATGTTTAACAGCAGACCCTGCCCTCCCTCCCATTCAGGGATATCATGTTCCGGGAGCATCTCTCAACATGGAGGAATGCGGCCCTGCAGCAAGCACAGAATGCTGCTTGGGATTGTGTTTCTGCAGGGAGGGCAGGAGGTAGTCCTGGAAGGACGTAGTGAGGCAGGAAAAGAGCTGAAGTGGTGCTGAGAAGGCTCTTGTACAGGGGGAGGGGGAGGAGAGGAACAAACATTGTAGAGAACAGGAAAAACGATGTGCTGGGAAATGATTAATCCACCCCAAAGGCCCTTGCTAAGAAGTGCTGGGACAAGCTCAATGGGTTTTGGCAGCCATGAACTACTTCTGCTCCGCTCTAGACTCCCGCCTTGCAACCAGATGTGTTTAACTGCAGCTCCCTCCCTCCCCACCACAACCCCTCCGTGTCCTCTGCCTGTCCTGGCAGCTCTCTGGCCATACACCCCCTCCTAGATGTGCATTTTCCACCCTTCCCCTGGCCCTCCACCTCCAGCAAGTGTTTTCTCAAGCACAATCCCTGCTGGGGGAAGGGGGCGGGAGTCCAGTTGAAGAACTGCTGTTCTGTATCCTGTTGTTTTCCTACCATAATTGTTTCAGTTTCCTGCACTGTCTTATCTGGAGCTGAAAAGCCAAAGCTCTCGTATTTACTTGCTTTGTGCGTGCCTCAGCTTTCTCATCTGTGAAATGGACCTTCCAAGACTCAAGAGAAACGCAGCCAGGACTATTACAGGGTGGAGAAACAGGAACAATGTGGTTAAAGGGCTTTCAGTGCCTATACAATTACGTTCTTTATTTAGGTTCCCTGCTTGAAGCCTGTGTGTGTGTGGCAGAGGATTTCAGTGAACCTCCAGCACACCCTAACGCTGCACAGACCCGGCTGGAACAGAGAGGAACAGAGATGGTTATTCCAGGTTCCTGTGTTTGACTGTAGAACACAAAGTGCTGAGTTTGGGGTTTCCCCTCAGGGGCTCAAACTGCACACGGGAAAGTCTTAACCCAGAATATGTGGTTCAACGCTTTAGTTTTAGCTTGGAGTTTTAAGAGCTCCCTGAAACACTGGAGACCTCTTGGAAATTCCTTGCCACCTTTTTCTTGATTACAACAGTAAAATAAGCACCTACAGTGCTGCCACCTCCAAAGCTCCTGTGGACACCAGCCATGGGAGAAAGCAACATCTGGTAGGTTTAAACCACACCACTTCTTTCCCCTCAAGTGAGCATGAATTCACCAAGCTGCAGGTTCTGTTAATGCACTAAATTCCCAAATGAGAAGCAAACGTTTACCATAGAGCTTTGGAATGTCCTGTTTTGCTGCTCAGAGGTGTGGGTCCTGCACACACGGTGCTGTTATCAGATGGGAGCCTCTCCTGGAAGGAGAATGAAACCGCTGCATCGCTCCCAGCCATGCAGATACCAAACCAGACAGGAGGTTTCCAAACCAACCCCCAAGCCCAGACCCTCCCCATCCACAGGGATTCTGGGTTTTCATGAAGCAGGCAATGATCCCACTGGATTGCCATTAATTGAAGAGGGGAGAAGTATCTGTTCTTCTTTATGGGGAAATACAGATTTCATTTCCCCCCGCTCAGCTGGAACAGTAAATTCAGGCTCATGCTGCTTAGTTTCTTTGGAGGTGAATACCAGAGCAGGGGTGGGCTGAAGTGGGGTCCTGGTTGGTTACCAGAGCCCCTACTGAGAACTAGATAGCCAGCGAAAAAACGGCTTTTTCAAAGAGCTCAGGAAAAGGAAGACATGGGCTTGGAGATAAGGAAGGATAAAAGCATTCCCCGTGATAGGAATCGCGATGTTCATCTGCCAAGTGAGGCGTTTCAGGGCCTTCTGACCGTGCAGAGCTTCCGTTTCTGTTGCCTTTTCCCACACAAACTGGAAGCACCAAATTATTGGCATGAAAATTCCTTTTAGCTTGTCCAAGCAGCTCCGGCCTTTGGGAAGAATTACACAGGTCAGACGTGAAGATAAAACTGCTTAACTTCAGAAGGGAGAAGTGGCTTCCCACAGGTTTGTGTTGGGCTGCTCAGGAGCAGGCTGTGTGTTCCCTGGGTCTGTCTGCTCTCAGGTTGACAGACACCTCTCAGGTCAAACTTGGGCAGAGCTCAACTGAGGACAGTTGACATGGCGATTTGAGGTGACTTCCAACCCCCTTTTCTGTGCTTCAGGAGGAGATCAGAATGGCAGCAGATCCCATTGCATGCCAAAAGCTCAAAATGCATTTCCTGCTTTAAAAATAGGGATGTTGGTCCGATTGGTGTTTAAAGCAATCAGACCAAACTGGACTTCAGTTAAACACTTGCTCGTTTCACAAGCTAGCAACAAACAGCACAGCACTGAGACTAAAATCACCCATCCCATCACTTTAAAGCTATATGAAGGAACACATGGATTGATACTGGTGCTTCTCCCTCTTCTTTTTACTGTTTGAAAGTCAGATAATGTTTGAATCTGAACCAGCTTCACTGTTTCTGGGACTTCTGGTTGTGCAGTTCCCTCCATTTGGGGAAGCAAAGATTGCCAACCACAGAGGGCTGAAAGGAACATCTCCCAGAGCCGGGTTCTTACAATGCTCTTTGCAGTGTTTGTATTTCATGTCTCTATAGAGGCTGATCCTGCAAATATTGACACAAGCCCAGCTTTTATGTACAGCCCATTGGAGCTCAATGGGGACTCACCTGAATGAGGACATGTGTTCTGCAGTAGCTTTTGGACTGAGCATTGAAATGTTTAGTTGCATCTGCTAGCCAGATTTTACATACATATATATATATACACACACACATATATAGACACATATTGTTCTTACTTTAGGCTCTGAGGGGAAAAGAAGGACTATTCAAGCAGTCATGTACTGATCTCCACCTGAAAGAAGGCTCTGAGAGACAGACAACAGCAGCATGGTGAGTGTTCTTCTATAGCCTAAAAGATACCTTTGACAGTTGTTTCTAACAGAGTCAATCCTTTGTTAAACCCAAGTTTTAGCCATGGGGATGCAAGGTCCGGGGTTTAGTTGCTGAAAAGCAGCCCCCAAACACAACCTCGTCACATATCCCATTGCCCCCTGGGTGCATGTGGTGCTGCCACAGGTAGAAGCCCTGGGGGCCGTGGGGAGGCTGTGGAGCTGATTCCAGTGACTTCCCCTTGTTCTTTCCCCCGAGTGAGCACAGAATGGTCAGGAATCACTGATCTAGTTATTGCTCTATTGAACAGGGCTAGAAGCAGTCCCTGGAACTGCTACTTTATGCACGTCCTCTTCCACAAAAATCTCTCCTAACATGTTTCTGCAGAATGAGAGCGCCGGCGCCGGGAGGTGCAGCGATGCCGGCTCACTCTGCATGGATCTCACCAACCTTGTGACCTGGGCACACACTCATGGCACCATATGCAAGCAAATCCCAGCCTTGGAAATTGTGCAGAACGTGGGTCATGCGAGCAAGGCCAACTCTGTGCTGTGGATCTGTGGAGCTGGACACGCGTATCACTGGCAGTGTGAAAAACTCTACCTCAGAAGCAGAGAGGAGAATGAAACTGCAGAGAAGAGGAAGAGGTCAGCGTCTTGTGAGGCTGCAGCAAGGGAAGCTAACTTCCATGAAAAGAGGTTCCGGGTGACCCCATCTGTTGAGTGGGGCAAAGGAGATGCTGTTAGCACAGGGTCACGTAGCAGATCTCCGGGGGGCACTCAGCAGAAGGACGATGCAGTCTACATAATGCATAATGAGCTATCACCCAGTAAGAATTTGAAGCCTGGCAAATCCATGAAATCAGGCTTTGCAGCAGAGCACCAGGCCTCAGTATCTATTGGGGAAGCCCAAACCAACAGACCTCAGGTGAAGCAAGAAAGCAACAAAGATCTACAAATCATCTCTGATGAAGAACAGTGTGTGTCAGATGCAGATGACCAAGGAGGTGGAATCAACCAGAATGTTCTGTCGGAATCACCAGTGAAGGGTGGAACTGCTGAGGTAGATTCACTAGTGCATCACAGTCAAAAGACAGCATTTAACAAGCCAACAGCCACCCAAAGACCTGGCTTTGCCCCCACAGGAAAGCTGTCCCCACGTCTTGCCTGCATTCTGAACCCCCCTCTCAGCGACCAAGAGAGCCTGGACAGCAGCTTCCTGAGGCTGGGTCCTCCTCTTCGTCCTGCAGGGTCAGTAATGGAAGCTTCTAGAGCAAGAAATCCCTCTGGGTCAGCAATGCTGAAAGAATATGTCAAATCTGTTCCTGCCTCCAGCACTGACGCAAAGGCCCAACTTGAGTCCCCCACCTCTGTGGCATTCTTTGAGTTTGAAGCCAGTGTAGACATCCAGCAGGAACTCCAGCTGAGCCCTCTGGAGCACAGCATGCCAAGAATTGACTTCAGTGAGAATGGTCCTGACAACCCTGGTGAGGAGGGTGAACCTCTGGGATCTGGGCAGGCCCCTCATCCTTCAGGCTCACTGAATCCAGAGAGCAGGAACACAGAGCAGCCATCCACAGCTAGAGGTGAGAGCCTGGAGGGTTATTCCTGAAGGACTGGGGGGGGAGGGGGATGGTTTCCCAAAATCCTGAAGGAGGGCAAGTTCATAGAGCTGCCAAAACCTGTATTGCAGCACTCTTGTTTCTGCTGAATGGGACTATAAAGGTTCCTGCAATGCACACTTCAGGTACCAGATGCACTTGGCCATGGCCCAGCCCCAGAGCTGGGTGCAGGACTGCAGGGGTGGGGGTCTCATGAGAACAGGGCGGGGAAAATCTGCATCCCCCTGTACTTCACTGGTCTCCTTGTAAGTTCTTGCTGTCCACAAAGCTGTGTCTTCTCTTTCAGGTGTGTTGAAGAAGGCTGAGAAGAAGAGAAACCGTAACTCTGGTGATATAAAAGTGTTCAAGGACTGGCTGGTTCTCCATTGCCCCTTAGAAACACGGGAGGTCTATAAGCTGCCACCCCAAGACCTTGATAATTACCTGGCCTTGTTTTACAGCTCTGCAAAGAGACAGAATGGCACAGACTTCTCCCCCTGGTCCCTGCACTTCTTACAGAGCAGCATAGAGAGGTACCTCAAGGATCACAGCTACAAGTACAGCGTGGTGCGAGGGCTGGAATTCCGAGCGTCCCAGGAAGCCCTGAAACTGAAACACCAGCATCTGTCTCAGAAAGAGAGGGAGGGAGCATGGAGTATTCTGGAGAACCTGACAGATGAGGATGTGGAAAGCCTCCGGAAGAAGGGACTTTTAGGTAAGATTCACCCTCAGGCCTTTTTGCACCTCATGTTCACAAACATCATCAGGGGGTTTGGGGCACGTACACACACTCAGAGCCACAACCTGTGCTGGGGCCAGCTTGTGCTGACGAGGAATGAGGGAGAGCCAGAGTACTTGGAGTGGAAGGACAATCTGAGCACAGAGCCGAGCACAGGGGCCTCGGGCCCACGTCTCTTTGCCAAGCCTGACGATCCAGGTAACTGTCCAGTGGCAGATTACAAGGAGTACAGCAAGAGAAGGCCACTGGATATGCTCAACGACCACGATCCACTTTACCTGGCTCCCAAGCCACTGTGCTCCGTCTGGGACCAGGTGTGGTACTGTAGGAAGCCACTTACAAAAGCCAAAATGGAAAAGATGCTGAAAATTCTCATCCAGCAAGTCAAAAGATCCGTGAAGTCCAAGAAGTAAAGGTATCCGTGGAGGTTCTGCTATACCTCTTGTTACTAGGAATGTGTTTCTGAGCACTCTTTGAAAGGTTCAAGTATCAATAGTGTAGGTTGGGGGGATAACCTTTCCCCTTGGTGTCACCTTCAAGCAGAAGTCACCTGCAAGTTTTCAGTGTAGAACTTCTATTGTAGTTCTGTTAGTGGGGTTGGTAATTCAGGAAGTTCAGTAAATTCAATGCTCTTTGGTTTCACCTTTGCCAAACAAGTTCATTTTGTGCTGTATCAACAACGTAAAATAGCTGATGTTCCCATAGAGAGGGCTCAGCAGCTAGAGGCTTGGCTTGGAGCTTCTAAGCTGGAGTTTAAGCTGCCCTGTGGGGAGCTGAGAACTGGACATAGCATTTATTCTACAGCATAAGCCTGAGTGAGAAACAGGAGTTAGTTCTGGGGTGGGGGAACAGTGAGTGCCAAGTGCTCATCCTGTGGGAATGCTTTCAACAAGGTTAGTGTCCTTTTTCTTCGTGAAAGATTTGTAGATTTAAGAAGCTGTGACTGTGTTTTAAAGAGTTACTTAAGGTGGCTGACAGCGTTGAGAGGTTTTATGGTCAGTGCTTTCCCCAGAGCACTACATACAGCCAGCCACACAAACTCACTCTGGTGGAGGCAGTCACCTTCTTTCAGCTGTTCAAGTGCTGTTCAGTGGATGTTGTCCTACAGCCCAGCCGTTGGGTTGCACTGTTGACATAGTTTAATAAAAGAACATTTCACTTCATCCTGTCTGTCTGTCCTACCCAGATGAAGCCAGGAACCCAAAGTGGCAAGGAACAGCTCCCTGAATCACCAGCATATTCCCCTCCCGTGGTCAAGTTTCTCTGGCATTGCCAAGCCAGCCTCACTGAGGATCCCAGTTGGTTGCAGTCCCACAGAGCCCACATCTGTGGTTTCTTAACAAGGTTTTTCTGACCAAACCCTTTGCCAGAACTGGTCTCATTCCAGCAACATTTAATATCCCCAAATAACTTCCAGAAGCTTTAAGAGCCATAAATGAGAAACTCAAACACTCAGCTCCCAGCTTTCCTCATGCTGTCAAGCACAGGCAGGGTCACAACTGCTCATGGCTTCACTGAAGAGCCTGAACCAGGCCCAGCACAACCCCTCTCCTGCAGAACCAAGCTCTACTCCCTGCATGGAGGCAATGACCAGCTCAGGCTTCTCTTCCCTCTGTGCTCATCATATTCACCCCCACCCTAAAGGTGTTAATGAAATGCTGCTGCCTTAAAACTCAGGTGATGCCATTAGTCAGCAGCAGCTCCAGGGCAGCGGGCTAAATCCCACGTCATCCAGGGCTGATGCTGTTCTGACCCTCAGAACAGCTCCATGAGGCTGAGCCTGGGTCATGCCTCAGCAGCCCCAGGGGTAAACCCAAGCTAACACCAAGAACCAACCTCAGGGCGAACGTTCTTGTTAAAGTTTATTTTTTATTAAATGGGTTTGCATCTACATGCTGTGGGAAATGATTCCTGGGAACATCTTTGTCTGCAGAAGCAATACCAAAGGCTCCTGTCTTGCCAACAGGACACCCACAGCCCTCGGCGCCGGCCGGAGCCTCCAGGGTGGCTGCGGTGTCCCTCCTCCAGTGGTGGCAGAGCCCAGTTACATCCCTGGGGTGTGTGCGGTGCTTGAGCAGGCTGTGTCACTGCGGGGCTCGGGGGGGCACTCAGAACATCTGGGGGTTACATACATGCTTTTCATCTTTGAACGTCGAGAAATGGGGCTGGAGTC